TAACATATCATTTAACACATTCCCCTAGCTCCACACATTTTGGCAGTTAATGTTTCTGCACTTGTGTTCTTAGCTACCCTTGCAAGTTCTGAGGGATAAACCTTAAAATCCTCATTTAAATTAGAAACAAAAATAAAACCAGGAAATATGACTTTTTCTTTTATGTATAGAAGATCTTATGAGATTGTCCCATGACATATTTATTCACAAAAGTTGTGCATTCTCTGCAATGGAGTTGCCTTTGGGCTTGGTAAAATCTTGTTGTATAACAGTCATATATGGAAGAGGTGGCTTACAGGGAAATAAAAGATTAGTCAGAATGTTATTAATCTATTCCTGACTGAATTATTTCAGGCAGCATAGCTATCACTAAATCCAAAAGTCTTCAGAGAAGTTTTAAATGGGCTCTATTGTGCAAAGGAGTGGGATGTGCACACACAGAAGTCAGTTGCCTTAATCCTATCGTATTTAAACAGGCTTCAATGCTCAACATGCCAGTATGCTTGGAAATTCTTCAATACCGTGACCTCTAAAAGCCCAGCTAATTTAGCAAAAAGAGAAACAGGGGTAAGTTATTTTTGAAAGAGTTTACTACCTCCTTTGCTTGTTAGTGCTTGTTCAATTCCCACCTACTCACCATTGTGGACTGAATGTATCCCCTCAAAATTTGTATATTGAAGACCTAATCTCCAACGTAATAATATTTAGAGATGTGACCTATGGGAGGTTAGAGTAGTCATGAGGGTGGATCCGTTATTGAAACCATCCCTCTAAACTTTACAAAATTAATCAGGGAAGGGAGGGAATAAAATGAAAATAAACCAAGCCTGAGCATATGCGGCATTAATCATCACATCAGCTTTCTCTCTGACCTGCTTCCTCATCGTGTTTGCCTATTGTCTGAAAATCATATAGACCATAGGTTATAGTTCTCCTTAACTGCTCTATTTTTGATGACAACTTATACATTATGAAATGTTAATCTTTCCCATTGAAATATTCTTTTAGGTCCTGCATACCAATGAAACTACTGACATCAGCTGATCTGAATGACCCAACAAGAAGCTTACATACACAAAGAATGCAGTTTCCACATCCTAATGATTTCAGTCTCCTTACCCTGACCAATCAATGATTCCAATTTGCCTGTCCCATCCCCTCCACAATTTTCTTAAAAACCCCAGATCAGTATATTCCTTGGGGAGATGGATTTTGGTGTTTTCTGCCATCTCCTTGCTTGGCTGCCCTGTGATCATTAAACTCTTTCTCTGCTGCAACCCTGCGTCTCAGTGTACTGGTATGTTACTGTGCAGTGGGCATATGAAGCTGTTGGTCCTATAACATTATGATGGCGTTAGTGGCCTTATAAGAATTGGAAGAGAAGCCAGGCACATTGGCACACACCTGTAGTTCCAGCTACTCAGGAGGCTGAGGCAGGAGGATTGCTTGAACCCAGGAGTTTAAGGCTGCAGTGTGCTTTGATCATTTCTGTGAATAGCCACTGTACTCTAGCCTGAGCAACATAGCAAGATACCATCTCTATTAAACAGGAATTGGAAGAGAGAGAGGTATATAATTTTTTTTTCTCGGCTTGTGCACACACCTAGGAAAGGTCAAGTGAGGACATAGCAAGAAGGTGGCTACCTGAAAACAAGGAAGAGAGTGCTCACAAGAATCCAATCATGCTGGCATCCTGATCTTACATTGTAGACTCAAGAACAGTAAAGAAAATCAACATTTCTGTTATTTAAGCCACTCAGTTTATGGTGTTTTATTATGGCAGCCCAAGCTGACTAAGACATTCACTATAAAAGGACAATTATGTATTGGACAGTACCATTAATATAGATGTATAAGGAAGAATGGGGCAATGAGTACATTAATGACAGGACATAAGAATGATGATGAGATATTTGAATAAGAAAGATAATATTACTTGCAGGACAGTACAAAAAAAAAAAAAAAAAAAAAAAAAAAAACAGAGCCAGAAAGAAACATGAAACATAGGTGAGAGTGAACCTTTTCTTGGTGATAAAAATGGGTAATATAAATAATTTGAGGAAGTGTTTGCATCTATTTAGATGATATTGACAGTGACAGAGATACTGATGGAGTGTTTTGCTGTGCACAAAGATTATACTTGTCTTCTTTTGAGAACTGTAAATAGTATTTTAAAATTCAGTTTAATGAAGCAACCAGGATGCAAAGATTGAGCCAAGTGGAATCCCTATTATATTTGGGTTGTAATATGCTTTCATTTAACTCTTGAAATAATGTTACAAAATGTATTTAGTCATTGTATATTTTTGTTAAGAAAATTAGACCTCAGGGAGATTAGGCAAGTTTTCAAGATTCCATAGCTTGTAAGTAGTGGAGTATAGATTATAACCCATGTCTAACTAATTTTGAAGCTGATAGTCTTCATTACATTACACTACACTGAAAATTTTCAACATGGAAAGAAACTGAAATATATGAAGACAGCCTAATGAGATTATGAAGACATTCTAATGAGATTACAAAGACAGTCTAATGAAATTACAAAGGCAATTACAAAGGATAGTCATCCTTTCTCATATATTCAGTACTACTATGGGTCAGCTTTTCCTTTACTAAGATTATGAACTTGGAGACTATCTAGATGGCGAGAGACCTTAAAACTCACTAAGTTTATCTATTATCTGAACTTTCCGTTGTCATGGACTGAAACTAACAGTGCAAATAGAAGGTATGGTATCATTGTTGTGGTGTATTAAAAATAGACCAGATAGAGAATGAAAGAGCCTAAAATCTAGTAGTATTACAGTTTGCATGTATAACATTTAAAAGGTATTTAGCTTTTGTAAGCCTCAATTTCCTAGGGTATTCAAATCAGTTTTCTCTAATATTTCATTATATTCTCATTATTTCATTGTTTCTGTAATTCTAAAGTAGAAACTGATTTTTGTGTCACATATACACCCTTAATATTTTGATTTATATCTATCAATATAATATTTATATTAGATCTGAAATTATCAAGTTGCATAAGTGAAAGCCCTATCAGTAATGATGCCTGGGTCCAAAAAATTTAAAAATGGATCTGGAGACAGCTTCAGTAAATGTTAAAGTGAAATAGTTAGGATAATCTCTTCTCAATAGATAATAATATGAAATAAAAACAAAACATATGTGTGTATATAACCTAAATATTATAGATATGTTTATGTATGTATATGCACATGTGTTTGTATTTTATTATTTCTAAAAACAGTGGAAAGTAACCAAAACCAGGGAGAAATTGGAGATAAGTTTACCCTTGAAAGACTCAATTGAAGCAGATCAAAACTGAAATCCTTTGGCTTTCTTTCCAGAGGTTGATCTCCAATCACCGCAGCTATGGCAATAGAAAATTATATCCTTTGGAGCTGGAGGTGGCACAGTGCAGAGTTCAGGGCTGGCAGGATAAACGAAAATTTAGGGGAAATTCCAGGAAGTGAGAGACCCACAGATGGGGTAAGAACTAAAATATTAGTATAATCTCTTCCCAAATCTCCTAGCTTCCCCTAAAATTTTCTATGTGGATGAGAGTCCAAAGCCTGGTGAACAAAAGGGACACAATCCAGAGAGGAATCTACCCTTGATAGACAGAACTTGCAAGTGCACTGACTGAATGACAGTGCAAGGCTCAACCATATATACTTAAGGTGACAGAAAGCTGAAACCTTACTGGCCTGATGTGGCAGAAGATAGAGTTCAGGACTATCAGAGCAGTTAGAAATTAAGTGGAGATTCCAGTAACAAAGGAATTACAGGGCAAATAAGCTGCTACATCTGTATATAAACGTTCCTCAAATCTTTGACTGATCCACACAGGTTCAAGCAGGTTCTAACATGTATAAGGAAGTGTAAACAGGACCTAGAATAGAAAATGAAATTTTGAAACAGTGACAAAGTTGTAGCACTTGTGCTACTGATTTTATGAGTTATTATTATTCTTGAGTAATAAAGACAGTGTAGTAATGGCATAAATATACACATATTATCAGTGGAACAGAACTGAGAGTCTGGAAATATGTGGCCAATTAACTTTGACAAAGGCTTGAAGGTAAACAATAGAGAAACAACTGTCTTTTCAGCAGATAGTATTAAAACAATTATTTTTCCATTTAGAAAAATAGATCTTTACCTGTACCTCACACCATGCACAAATATTAACTTAAAATGGATCATAGCTTTAAATGTAAAAGCTATGACAATAAAACAGAGAAAATATTTGCCACTTTGGGGTAAGACAAAATTTTAAGGGCACAAAAAACAAATAATGAGAGAAATAAGTTGAATTCCATACAAATTGAAAAAGTAAGCCACACATTGAGATGCAATATTTAAAATACATATGTCTGACTAAATAATGAAAAATATGTATAAAAATTTAAGATAAAAAACCACCCCAAAATGGACAAATGATTTGAACACTATAGAAGAACAAGGCATGATGCAGTGGCTCACACCTCGAGAACTGGGAGGCTGAGAAGGGAGGATCGCTTGAGTCCAGGTGTTTAGGAACAGCCTGGGCAACATAATGAGATCCCATCTCTACAAAAAGTGTTAAAAATAATTGACAAGTGTGGTGGCTGGTGCCATTAGTCCTAGCTACTTGGGAGGCTGAGGCGGGAGGGTCACTTGAGCCCAGGGGTTAGAGGTAATAGTGAACTATGATAGTGTCACTGCATTCCAGCCTGGGCGAGAGAGTGAGACTTCAACTCAAATGAGAAAAAAAAAAAAAACATATTTTTATGGCAAAAAATCACATGGAAACATTATTAATCATCAGGAAGATTTTAAACAAAATCACAATGAATTACCACTGTGTACCAACTTGAATGGCTAAAATCGAAAAGACTGACCATATCGAATATTAACCAGAATATAAAGCCACTGGAATGTTCAGACATTTCTGATAAGAACATTTCTGCTACACTTTGAAAACAAGTTTGGTGGTAGCTTATAAAGTTAAACATGCACTAACTGTACGATCCAGTGGTTACACTTCTCTTAGTTATGTATCAAGAAAAATGAAAACTTATGTCACCAAAAGACTTGTACAGGAGTACTCTGAGCAGCTTTTTTCATATTAGCCAAAAATTGGAAACTCAAATATCCAACAGGTGAGTAAAGACAAACATGTGTATATGTACGTATATATATGTGTATATATGTGTATATGTGTGTATATATGTGTGTGTATATATATGCAATGCAATGCCATTAAGGAATAGAAATAAATACACTACTAATATCTTCAATAACATGAATTAATCTCTGAGATATTATGTTGAATTAAAAATCCAGATACTGCTTGGTATGTTGATGATTCTGAAAAAGACAAGCAAACGTACAATGACAGGGAAGTGCTCAGTGGATACCTAGGGGGAGAAGGAGGTAGAAATTTATTGCAAAAGGGCAGAAGAGGACTTTTGGATTTATGGAACTGTTCTCTAACTTGAGTTTGGTCATGGTTGCCTGTGTGTATATATTTGCTAAAACTTATTAAACAATTAATATGTGCATTTTATTATATACAAGTATACTTTCAATAAAGTTGATTAAAAAGAGAGATGATTAAAAACAAACTATAAAAGAAGATGAAATATAAATTTTATTTCATTGTAACTATTACCATTATTATTTTATTATCCTAAGCTTTTCTTGGGGCAAGAAATGACTGGTAAGATTGTATTTTTTTGTTTTACGTCTTGCTTTTATGTAATGGTAAGATTTGATGTACATTGAAAAGCACATTGAATATATCAAATTACAAAATAAACACTTTTTCAACTTTTACTTTAGATTCAGTGGGTACACAAGCAGATTTGTTATCTGGGTGTATAGCATGCAGAGATTTGGGTTATGATCCCATCATCCAGTTACTGAGGGTAGTATCCAGCAGTTTTTTCAGTCTTTGCTCCTATCCCTCCCTTTCCCCTCTACTAGTCCACAGTTTCTATTGTTCTCATCTTTATGCCCCTGAGTACCTAATACTTAGCTCTCATTTATAAGTGAGAACATGTGGTATTTGGGTTTCTGTTCCTGCATTAATTTACTTAGGAGAGTGACCTCCAACTGCATCCATGTTGCTGCAAAGGACATAATTTCATTCTATTTTATGGCTGCGTAGTAGTCTATGGTATATATGTACTACATTTTCTTTATCCAGCCCACCATTGATGGGCACCTAGATTGATTCCATGTCTTTGCTACTGTGAATAGTGCTGCAATGAACATGTGAGTGCATGTGTCTTTTCAGTAGAACAATTTATTTTCTTTTGGATATATACCCAGTAACAGGATTGTTGGGTAAATGATAGTTCTGTTTTAAGGTCTTTGAGAAAGAATTTAAAGAACTTAAGCTTTCACATTGACTGAACGAATTTACATTCGTATCAGCAGTGTATAAGCACTCCTTTTTCTCTGCTACCTCACTAGCATCTGTTATTTTTTTGACTGGTGTGAAATGGTATCTTATTGTGGTTTTGATTTGAATTTCTCTGATAATTAGTGATGTTGAGCATTTTTTCATAAGCTTGTTGGCTGCTTCTATGTCTTCTTTTGATAACTGTCTGTTCATGTCTTTTGCCCATTTTAATGGAATTATACATTTTTTGCTTGTTAAATTCCTTATATATTCTGGATATTAGACATTTGTCAGATACATGGTTGGCAAATATTGTCTCCTATTTTGTAGGTTGCCTGATTACTCTCTTGATAGTTTCTTTTGTTGTGCAGAAGTTCTTTAGTTTAATTAGATCCCACTTGTCAATTTTTGTTTTTGAGGGCTTAGCCAAAAATTATTTGCCAAGGCCTGGTGTCTGGAATGGAGATTCCTAGATTTTCTTCTAGGATTCTTATCCTTTTAGGTCTTATATTTAAATCTTTAGTCCACCTTGAGTTAATTTTTGTACATATTGACAGATAAGAGTCTAGTTTTATTCTTCTGCATATGGCTGGCCTACTATTCCAGCACCGTTTATTGAATAAATAGTTATTTCCTCATTCCTTATTTTTGTTGACTTTGTTGAAGATCAGATGGCTGGAGGTATGTGGCTTTATTTCTGGGTTCTCTATTCAGTTCTATTGGTCTATGTGCCTGTTCTTGTACCAGTACATGCTATTTTGGTTACTGTAGCCTTATGGTGTAGTTTGAAGTCAGGTAATTTGATACCTCCAGATTTGTTCTTTTTGCTTAGGATTGCTTTGGTTATTCAGGCTCTTCTTTCGTTATATATGAATTTTAGAATAGTTTTTTTTCTAGTTCTGTGAAAATGACATTGGTAGTTTGATGGAAACATTGTTGATTCTGTAGATGGCTTTGGGAAGTATGGTCATTTTAACAAAATTGATTTTTCCAGTTCATAAGCATGCACTATCTTTCCACTTGTTTGTGTCATTTATAACTTCTTTCAAGAGTGTTTTATAGTTTTCCTTGTATGATCTTTCACCTCCTTGGTTATAAATTGGATTGCATTCTTGATATGGCTGTCAGCTTGAATGTTATTAGTGTATAAAAATAGCACTGATATTTGTACATTGCTTTTGCATCCCAAAACTTTTAAGTCTTGTTTCAGTTCCAGGAGTCTTTGGCAGAGTCTTTAAAAAGGGTTTTCGAGGTATAGAAACATATTGTCTACATGGAGAGATAGTTTGACTTCTTCTATTTGGATGTATTTTATTTCTTTCTGTTGCCTGATTGCCGGGCTAGCACTGCCAGTACTATGTTGAATAGCAGTGATGAGAGTGGTCATCTGTGTCCGGTTCTTGTTCCTGTTCTAGTTCTCAAGGGAATGCTTCCAGCTTTTGCCCATTCAGTATGATATTGGCCTTGGGGTGATCATAGATGGCTCTTACTTTTGTAAGCTATGTTCCTCTGAAGCCTACTTTCTTGAGGATTTTTTTTTTTTTTTTTTTTGAGACAGAGTCTTCCTCTCTAGCCAAGTCTCCTGCCTCAGCCTCCCGAGTAGCTGAGATTACAGGTGCCCACCACCATGCCCAGCTAATTTTTGCATTTTCAGTAGAGACAGGGTTTCACCATGTTGGCCAGGCTGGTCTTGAACTCATGACCTTGTGATCCCCCTGCCTTGGACTTCCAAAATGTTGGGATTACAGGTGTGAGACACCGTGCCCAGGCTCCTGAGGATTTTTATCATGAAAGGATGTTGGATTTTATTGAAAACTTTTTCAATAAAAGCTTTATTTCGATAGCCTTTTTATTTCAAAAAGCTTTTTTTTTTTTCAATAAAAACTTCTCTTAAGATGATCACATGGCTCTTGTTTTTAATTTTGTTTATGTGGTGAATCATGTTTATTGATGTGTGTATGTTGAGTCAAACTTATGTCCCAGGAATGAAGCCTACTTGTTCATGGTGAACGAGTTTTTTGATGTGCTGTTGGATTCAGTTTGCTAGCATTTTGTTGAGGATTTTTGCTTCTATGTTTATCAGGGATGTTGGCCTGTAGTTTTTTTTTTTTTTTTTTTTTTTTTTTTTTTTTTTTTTTTTTTTTTTGAAGCCTCTACTTGTTCATGGTGAATCCAGTTTTTGATGCTGCGTTGATTCAGTTTGCTAGCATTTTGTTGAGGATTTTTGCTTCTAAGTGTTTACACACTTCTGATGCTGGCCTAGTTTTTTTTTTTTTTTTTTTTTTTTTTTTTTTTTTTTTTTTTTTTTTCCACACTGTGTCTTTGCCAGGTTTTGGTATCAGGATGTTTCTGGCTTTGTAGAATGAGTTAGGGAGGAGTCCCTCCTCCTCAGTTTTTTTGGAATTTTTCAGTAGTATTGGTACCAGCTCTTCTTTGTACATCTGGTAGAACTTGGCTGTGAATTCCTCTGGTCCAGGGCTTTTTTAAATCGGTAGTTTTTTAAATTACTGCTTCAACTTCAAAACCCATTATTGGTCTGTTCAAGGTTTTGGTCTGTTTAGGGTTTTAATTTATTCCTGATTCAATCTTTGAATGTTGTGTGTTTCCAGGAATTTATCTGTTTCCTCTAGAATTTCTAGTTCATGTACATAGAAGTGTTCATAATAGTCTCTGAGGATCTTTAGTGTTTCTGTAGAATTGTTTGCAATGCCATCTTTTTCACTTCTGATTATGCTTATTTGAATCTTCTCTTGTTTTCTTTGTTAATCTAGCTAGCATATCATCTTCTGCTAGCTTGAGGGATATATTGTTTGTATTTTATTTTTATTTTTATTTTTTTTTAGACAGAGTCTTGTACTGTTGCCCAGGCTGGAGTGCAACAGTGTGATCTCGGCTCACTGCAACCTCCGCCTCCCAGGTTCAAGCAATTCTCCTGCGTTAGCCTCCTGAATAGCTGGGATTACAGGTGCCTGCCACCACGCCCAGCTATTTTTTTATATTTTTAGTAAAGACAGGGTTTTCTTATGGTGGCCAGGCTGGTGTTGAACACCTGACCTCGTGATTCACTCACCTTGGCCTCCCAAAGTGCTGGGATTACAGGCGTGAGCCACCACATCCAGCCAAGATTGTTAATTTGAGACCTAACTTACAGGTAGGCATTTGGTGCTATAATTGTTTCTCTTAACACTATTTTTTGCTGCATCCCAGAGATTTTGGCATCTTATGTCTCTGTTTTCATTTATTTCAATAATTTTTTTTTTATTTCTGCTTTAATTTCATGTTTTAACCAAAAGTCATTCGGGAGAAAGTTGTTTAATTTCTATGTAATTGTGCAGTTTCGAGAGATTGTCTTGTTAGTGATTATAATTTTTATTCCACTGTGGTCTGACAGTATGATTGGCATCATTTTGATTTATTTATATTTATTGAGATGTGTTTTATGGCCAAGGGTGTGTTCAGTATTGGAGTGTGTTTCATGTACAGATGGGAAGAGTGTATATTCTGTGGTTGATGGATGGAGTACTGTGTGGATTTTTATTTCATCCAGTTGGCCAAATGTAAATTTAAGTCCAGAATATCTTTGTTAGTTTTCTCTCTTGGTGATCTGTCTAATGTTGTCAGTTGAGTGTTGAAGTACCCCATTATTTTTGTGTAGTTTCCTAAGTCATTTTATAGGTTAAGAAGTACTTGGTTTATGAGTCTGGGTGCTCAAATGGTGAATGCGTATATATTTTGAATAGTTAAGTTTTCTTATTGAATTGAACCCTTTGTCATTATGTAATGCTTATCTTTGTCATTTTTTAATTGGTTTAAAGTCTGTTTTATCTGAAATAACAGTAGTAACCCTTCATTTTTTTTTACTTTTCTGTTTGCATGATAGATCTTTCTCCAACCCTTGACTTTGAGTGTATGTGTATTATTATGTGTGAGATGGGTCTCTTGAAGATAGAAGTCTTGTTTTCTGTCCAGCTTGCCTCTCTGTCTTTTAAGTGTGGTGTTCGGTGTATTATATTCAAGGTTAATATTACTCTGTGAGATTTTTATTCTATTGTAAAGTTGTTAGCTGGTTGCTTTGTAATTTCTATTGTGTGGTTGCTTCATAGAGTCTGTGAGTTATGTACTTAAGGGTGTTTTTTAGTAGCAGGTATAATTATTTTATTTCTATGTTTAGAATCATCTCTTATAAGGCTGGTCTACAGGTAATAAATTCCCTTAGCACTTGATTCTTTAAAAAGTATTTTACTTCTCCTTTGTTTATGAAGCTTAGTTTAGTGGAAGATGAACTTCTTGGCTGGAATTTCTTGGCTTTAAAAATGCTAAAAACTAGATCCCTAGTCTCTCCAGGCTTGTAGGTTTTTGTTGAAAAGTCCACTGTTACCTTGATGGGATTTCCTTTGTATGTGGTCTGATCTTTTTCTCTAGCTGCCTTTAAGATTTTTTTTCTTAAGTATTGGACTTGGACAGTCTCATGACTATCTGCCTTGGTGGTGTTTACTTTGTAGATGGTCTCTGGAGTTCTTGTATGAGGATGTCAACATCTCTAGCAAGATTAGAGAGATTTTTCTTGAATTATTCTTCAAATATGTTTCCCAGGTTATTGCTTTTTCTCCTTCTCTCTCAGGAATGCTATAATAATTCGTAAAATTGGTCACTTTACATAATGTCATGTTTCTCGAAGATTGTTCATTTTAAAAATTCTTTTTTCTTTCTTTTTGTCTGTATTAATTTCAAAGGCCATTCTTTGAGCTTTGAAATTCTTTCTGATGCTTCATCCAGTCTATTGTTAAAGCTTTCAATTGTATTTTGATATTTCTTAAATGACCTTTTCAATTCCAGAAGCTCTGATTAATAGTTTTTAGTACGTTTATCTCTTCCTTCATTTCCTGGATTGCTTTGAAGTTTCTTTGTGTTGATTTCAACCTTGTCTTGGATATCATTGAGTTTCCTTGCAGTCCATGCTTTAAATTCTTTTTCTGTCATCTCTGAGTTCCCATTTCAGTTAGCACTGCTGGAGAACTAGTGTGATCCTTTGATGGTGTCACTACATTCAGATTTTTCACAGTGCCAGAATTCTTCCACTGGTCAGAATTCTTGTGCTGATTTCTTCTCATCTGTAGATGCTGGCACCTCTAATTTTTATATGTATTTTCTTGCAAGTAGGAGTTTTTCTTTTTCTTTCTTTCTTCCTGTATAATATTATTTTTTTTTCTTTTCCTTTCCCTTTCATCCTTTCCTAGGGGATGTGACTATGGAGAGAACTCAGAGACCCCAGTGGGGCAGAGGCCAAGATGGGCTGGACCAGATCAGGCAAGTCTGCCTCCAAGTCCCTCAGTGGCAGGCACAAGCACCAGCAGCAAGAGAGAATTCAGTGAGTGGCCACCAAGTGCCCACAGGCATGCCTGGAATGCATCTGGGAAACCTCTATGGCCCTGAATTATCTGAACAAGAATGGTGAGTGGCATAAACTCCTAATCCAGTAGTATGAGTATTCCAGATGACTGAAGATCTTCCTGAGCACAGAATGGAAAGGGCCCTGCTGGACCTTGTTCTATGTTAATGAAGAGTGGGGCACCTCAGGCTGCAACAAGCATGTGCTCCAAATGCCTGGATTCCTCTCTGGTGGTGGAGCAGAGAGAGCGCTGCACCACGATCTCAGGGGAGCAGGCTGGGGCATCTAGCGCTGGTATACCCAGACCATTTCTAAGTTTCCAGGCTGGCCCTGGCTGCAAGTCTCACCACCCAGGAGAAACTGCAGCTGGAGCAGCTCTCCTTCTACCCCAGGCCTGTGGCAAGGGAGAAGAGGATTATAGTGCCTACTGACTGTGGAATCCCCTATCCCACTCCAGAGCAGGTGTTTCAATCTCTGGTCTGAGGCTAAAATGTCTGTCTGGCCATGATGCTGGGTCACCAAAGAATGGCTGAGTTTGTGTGCACCTTGAAGAAAAATGACATCCTGCTCTTGGTCCTGGGTTTGGGAAAATGTCTGCAAGTTTTCCTGGTGTCTTTTTCTCATTGCCTCTCCAAGCCCCTCCCCAAGTTAGTTCCAGGGCTTGGGAAAAACAAAATGTTTTCCCTCATCCGGGGTTGCTTGGATCCCTAGTGGAAAGGCAAGTCATAGAGGGAGGCTCTCTCTCTGACATTCTGAGACTTCACTCCTTTTGTTAGCTGGATGCTGTCACAGGAGCTGCTTGCTGGCATTTTCCCTGTGTTCTAGGGTGTCGCTCATGATCCCAGTGAATTCCCACTGTCCTTCTTGAATTAAAGTTAACAGAGTTGATCTTTATGCACTATTTTGCTCTTTCCAAGTGGCTAAGGCATGCTAAAAGCCTTTAATCTTCCATCTTGGGGGAAAAAAAAAAACATAAAAGAAACTTCTGTTGTAATTTATTGTTCTGGAAAAGAATGTATAGTGCTAGGATTCAATTTAGTTAAAGATTCATATATAAATACAGCTGTTAACATAGATATATAAAATGTATGACGTATGAGTTGTCTTACTCGGAATATGGGTAAAAAATGGAGAGTAGAATTGAAAGTTACATACCATGCTACAGTGCTCCAAGGGTTATCTAAGAAGTTCTTAATTTTAACACTCAATTAACTCTCACAGCACTCCTGGCAGAAATTATGAACTCAATTTAAGGAAAAATGGAAGGGAAAGATAAATGAACTTTCTAGCTGCCCAAGGCTTTACCAGTCTCTGTCAAATCTTGGATTACTTAATTTTTCTGGCACCTCTTGACTTAGTGCTAGTTGCAAAAGTATTAAGGGTAATCATCAAATAATTTGAAGGAGTAACTAATGATTGCCTATATTTGAGGAGCAGATCCTCCTATTTACAAAAGAAATGCTTCAATTCATTATACTTCCAGGAACCTCAGTTTCATTTAAAAAGTACTGTCCTGATCAGAAAAGGAGATCTTTTTAAAATAACTGACAATAGAATATCTGGGAATGTTTGAAGAAGTGAGTATAGATTGATCAGTAGCCTCAAAGAAAAACTTTACGGGGTGCTTCCAATTATTTTTGGGCTCTTGCAGAATTTAGAGAATGAGAGATGCACTCAGAATTATAGGTTGATGTTGAATAACATTGATGGAGTGGAGTGACTGCTTATTAGCTTATTCCTCACACTTAGAAGCCAATTAAGAACCAAGACTACTGGATTCTATCTGTTGGCAGTAACATCAGAGAAACATGTTCGGAGAAAGTGTGATAATTGTCTCTGTTGAGTACGAAGGATCATTTGTATCATTGGTCTCTCACAGTAATGCAGGCAGTTACAGCCTTGCCTATACTGTCCATTTCTGGAACATATACATAAAAAAATCTGAGCTAAGTTCATCTAAGTGTTACTGACAACAGGTTCTTGACTCTTATTTAACAGAAATTGACAGGGGGCTAAGTTTTCCAGCCAAAGCTTTTATTATGTGATTACATTCAAACACAAAGGGGGCAGCACAAGAGAGAATATTATCTGACTGGCTCTCCAAAGAGCATCAGGAGAGTAATTTTAAAGGGAATAAGAGAATAATGTTTAAGTATCTAGAGATGGGGAACTTCTGGTACTCTCTCAGTTGGATAACATGCTTCTTCATACTTCTTCATGTGTCCCATGTCTCATTAGTGTGTTAAATCTCCACCCCTGGGTATAATTTTTAGTATTATAATGAAGCTAAGGTAAAGAATTGGTCATTCTTCTGGTCTGCATGCATACAGGAGACAGTATTAATGTCTTTGAGTAAGATTTAAAGTGGGATCTGCTTATTTTTGTTTCCTCAAGTTCCCAGAATTAGTGAGTATAGTGTCTTAAGTAAGATTTATTGGGGGTGGGTGGGCATTGCTTATCTTAATCTCTCTAATGCTCCATTACCAGTGGGCATGGCACCTGGAGCAAGATTTATGGTCTAAGCTCTGGATGGTCTACCTGGAGTCACCAATGGTCACTAGGTCTCCACCCCCATCTGCTTGCACTAGATATCCTTCCTTTCTTGGTGGGGGCACGAGGGTCAGGGATGGGAGGAATTGAGTTCCATCCTGACTCTGTCCCATAAGGATGTTCTTTTCTAGAGTAAACTTAATGGCTCTCTAGTGCTTCTAGAACATAATGAATTTACTTAGCTTTCTTTGCATCAGTGCTGATTGTATTCGCTTTTTATTGCTACTGTAATAAATCACCACAAGCTTAGTGGTGAATAAAACAACAAAATTTATTATCGTACTCTTCTGGAGCCCTCTAATCCACTATGTTCCCCTATTAACAAAATCAACAAATATTCATTGATCCTCTACTATGTAAGAGGCATTATGTTAAGCAGCCTGGTAAACAAAACAGACAAATATTCCTTCCCTTGTGGAGCTTATTGTCTAGCTGTTTACATTCTTAGTAGTTAATCTAAATTCTACAATACCGCATGTCATAGTAGAATAAAAGCAAGACATACCTAAGGTTCTCATGAAACTTTATTACTTGTGATTGGTTACGTGTCCCAGGTTCTAAAATTTCTAGTTAGATTTAGTGGCATTGAACTTTTTGTTTTTTAATAAGATTAAAGAGGACTATAAATGATGAACAAAAATAACACTGAGGTTTAGTTTAGAATTTGAAAAAACTCTGAATTTTGCTTTCCCTTTGATTTTATGATTAAAAAGGCAGCATATTACTCTGAAGATTAGGTTGATAGTGGAGCAGTGGCTAAGAGTACTGAGGGTGCACAGTATAGGAAATCAGGCCAGAGTCTCAGGGTGTGGGTGGACTTGTGCCTGAAGTAGTCTGAGAGGAGGGATGGGGTAGTAGCAGCTATTGAACTCTTCCTTACTTCTTTGTTTCTTGTTTCATTCCCAATAAGGAAACAATTCTTGTCATAGGCCTGACACATTCAGGAATAATCTAGGTCTGTGTTATCATTTTCATACTATTTCTTCAGGCTTTAAACCCAACATTGTAGAACTGAGTTTTTCTATGGAATTGACATTTCTCAAATAAACCCTGAGCTAAATTTTGGTCTCATCATTTCCTAGCTACAACTTGAATAAGCCATTTATTGACTGAGTACTCAGTTTTGTGATTTATGAAATGAAGACAAATAGGATTTTTAAGATCAAATTGTCCAATGTGTTGAATGTTTGCAAAATCACTTAGAAACATTGATATGAACATATATTTCACATATCATTTTTTCCATAAGTGACAGATGATTGGTTACAATGAAGTAGAGAGATTTTTGTCCTTACAATGTTTATATTTACTTGCTGAACTGGGTTACACTGAGATGTATTCTCATCTAGTGGCTTGGAGCAGAAACTCTGGAACCATAGATTTGAGCAGCATCTCTGTCATTGTCTTTCTGTGTGAAAAGTAATTAACCTTTTCATAGTTGTTTCCTCATTTATAACATGGGCATAATAATAAGCACCTCTCTGATGTAGTTGTTGTGAGCATGGTACAGTCACACACTTCACATTATTTACATGCTTTCCTTGAGCAAGTTATTTAACTTTGTAGTGCAGTTTAAAGCGAGCTTATACTGGCTCTATAAACCCATGAGAACTTGATTTTTATATTTGCAAAAATTCTGTAAGTCCGTTCTTAAGTGGAGTCATTATTAAAAATGAATTATGTAAATTTATGTCTATAAAATATATACAAAATTTATAAATACTCAAAACTCATACTTATCATTTTACTATTATCTATTCTGTTCAGATTGCTTACATCTATTAATCTGACTGGCATAAGTAGTATATAATTGTGAGGTACTGTGCACCTCTTCTCAACTTCATGTTCAGCAAAGTCATATTGGTGACTTGAAATCTATGGTGATTATTGCAGGAGTGTTTATACCATGGAAATTGGCAAACACTACAAATTAGTTCTCATTCTTCTTAAATGTATTTACCAACACACCACTGTATCTGTACTTCATTGTCTTTTAGTGTAAAATTGAGATAATAATACCTACTTATAGCGCTGTCATAAGGATGATTCATTATAAGTAAAGTGCTTTAAAAATCTCTGGCACATGGTAAGTTTTCTGTAAGAATTAGCACTTTTTATTACCATTTTTATTATTCCAGTGGTATTTCAGTCCTTCAGCAATGTATTGTAACTCCAAGGGAAGTGGTACCTGAAATAGATTTTTAATGGAGTTATAGACCAACCTGTTATCTATAGAATTAGTATTGGCCAGTGTGGGTGGATGTTTCTATGATCAGGGCCTTAATTAAGTTGCCATATTAATACTCAATTAACTTAATTAATTGCCATATTAACAATTAGGCATTGTTTTCATAAAATATAAAGTCACATTTGTCATTGTCTTTGTAAAACTGTTATCTTCACTAATACATAGTCATATCAATCATTTGGCATTCCTATGGACCATTCATGTTATCAATACATTTATATTGTAATCCATGCTCTATGGTCAAATGGGGATTGAGTTTGAGCA